ATAATAAAGGAACTAATGGAATCATTTCTGGCTGTTAAAGAAAAACAATTTCTCAATTAAGAGATGATTTATTAACCCTCGTGCGCTGTTTGGGGTCCACAACGCTGATTTTTGTCTTTGGCTACGTTAATACTTATTGTTTTCGAATCGATCTCTTCTTTAATCGTTATTCTTCTAATAGTGCACGAAGACCATATGAAATTTCTCCGATGCCTCTTACAGAGTAAAAATTAAGGGGTAGGTCCACACGGACCCGGTGACATATTTAGTGTTATATATGTGATCTTTTTTCTTGTTCAATCTGTCCTCTGTTATCTCGACGGTTTATCTCCTTACATAGAATTAGTTTTATAATTATTTTGTATCATGGCAATTATCTTCAGTTTTTTTCTGAAAAAGAATGACTAATAATCCAACTGTAAAAAGAAGAGGGTTTGGGTGTGGGATGTGAGTATCGGTGACTTTTCTATATCCCACACCGACCCTCAAGATTACTCTAGCGTAACTGTATGTGGATCCAATTGGCCCTACATGACGTCTTTCGTGCGAAAAAATGAGGACAGCGCTCGAGAGTTAATTGATTGACTCGATATTTTCTTGTAGAAGATAAACTCATAAGTTTCCTGTCAGAACTGACATAAACTAAATTTTCACTTTCCTAAAAAACCTATTTCTTGTCTTACCATAGTTAACATTCGTTGTATAGGTGTTTGATCATAACTTGAACCTGAATATGCAACATTATAATGTTTTAAAAAACGTTTATATGATCTATAAAGTTCACGTTCTTCACCAGGAATTCTTACACTAATAAATATTCGTACAAAATCAGGTTTTTTTAATGCAATTGAATATTCTAATACATTATAAATTCGATCATTCGCATTAATTCGTATTTGTATAATAGCTGCAAAACGTTCAGTATCTGATACAAAATATGATGCAATATCGACTTGATCTTTATCAATAGCTGTTTTTATTGAATCAGCATTTATAAAATCTTCTATACCAACACTGCGATGTAACCATTTGCTACTTAAAATATATTTAACACATTTTAATGAACCTTTTTCAATTGCAATTACAAATGGTGTTTTACCATTGGCATTCTTTTCTATAAGTCGTTGTAATGCCTATTTAATATATCATTTAAAATAAAAATACATATATATATATATTTGTTTTTTATTTAACTTACAGTAATTCGAGATGCACTTGAACTAAGTCTTTTAAGTAATGCAATAGCTCGACTTAAAACAATATCATTACATTGTTCAGTTGCATAATGAAATACACTTGAACCCATATTATCTTTACATGTTAATGATAAATGATCTTGTTCCATTAATAATGTTGCTGTTGATGTTGATCCAGATTCAATAGCACAGAGTAATGGTGTTTGTCCTCGTATATTTAATAATGTATTAGCATGTGATGTTTCACTAATTAACATACGCATGATTTCTTCATGACCAAGTTTAGCAGCTAAATGAAGTAATGTTTGTCCCTGAGTATCATTTGAATTTGTACTTTCTTCTCGTCTTAAAGATAACATATAATCAGCTGTATTTAATGCTATTAATCCATTTGTTAATTCAACAATTGGAGCTGAAACAATAGCAGCAACACTTGGTTGTTGTTTTTGTTGTTGTTGTTTGCTATCTTCTCTGATAGAAACAAGTGGTTCTTTATATTTTTGACGTCGACGTTGAATAAATGTTGGACGACGACCAGAATCTTGATCTTCATCATCAGCATCAGAAAAACTATCGAATACAAGTTTTGGCGGTTTAATACGCATAGGAGGAATTGAAAGTTTAGTATCACTTGGAAATTCTGTTTGTTCATAAATAGGAGTACGTGGTTCTGAGTATGTATTAACACTCAATGATACTCCTAATGGTCTATGAAATTGTGGTGATTTTGGTGGAATGATAAGTAGTTGAGAAGGCATCGGAATCTATGATATACAAAGATAAATTAAAGGATTATATAAAATACATACACGTTTACTATTCAATCTTATGTATTTATTTTGGTAAAGAAATGAATGAGGGTAAAAAAAGCAACATATTTTCTCTTTTTTCTTCTGTATTAATCACACATTCTTTTATTGATGTTAACCTTTTCAATAACCTAATCATTACTGTGAATATTATGTTATATTTTAAGACTAATCTTTTGAATGTATTAATAAGAATATTATTAATTTACCTTTGATTTTGTATCACGTAAAATTCTATATAAAGATATTTTCAACGTTAATTATATAACCAAACATTTGTGTCTTCCCTTTCCACCAAATGACCAACAAAATACATGGAGTAAATCAATTTTTCCTTTTCGTCTGCGACAAAAATCGTGGTAGAGAGTTGATGAAAGCTAATTATATATTAGTGATATGGCAAGGGCATGCATGTCTATCATCGTCTTTATCAATCGTTTATTTTTCAGTAATATTAAAAACACCCTGAAGAGATATCTTAAATTCGGTTTTTTTTATTATCATTCAAAAAGAAATATCATTATATACATAAAAGAAAACCCGTAGACTATACAATAGCTATAGTATCCGAACGTCGTTGTATACGATGTTGTTTTCGTTGTTCATTTGAATTTGGTAATTTTGGTGTTAGACTATTATCATAAAGACTGTCTGTTCGTTGTAAAGTTTTCGTATGTTTTTCATTTAACATTGATATTTGTTCTTGTTCACTTTCTGATAATGTTTTATTTCGTCCTCGATTTGATCGAAACATTGCTTGTAAATGTTGTAAAGCTGTTCGACGCGATGAATATTGTCGACTTTGTGCTGTATCAATTGTTTGACGACGTTGAAGTTTCATTGAAGGATTTAAAATAGGTGTTGCTGAACAAACTACTTCTTGTAATTCTGAATTTTCTACACCATCACTCGAATCTGTATCATTGACATCAGGCTAAAAAAAAAGCAAAAAATATATAGATGCTATGAAATATTCTTTCACTAGATTAGAAAGCTTAACATGCAGCAATAAACGACAATAGTTTTTCTCTAACCATTATTTTTGAATATTAATACTAGTATTAGTTTGATCTAACTTACATGTTTTGCTTTTCTAGGAATGTGCACGTATGCGTTCATTCTAAAAATGACCTTTTCTTTTAAATAAAACAACATTAGAAATACAACTGTCAGTTTTTTTCTCTCTCACTACGGAAATATTTTCGTTCAAAATAATGGTATATCATTTATTATATAGAATCTAATTATAGAAATAGACCATTAGAATAACCAATCATCATCGAAAACGTTTTTAATTCATAGTGACAGTTCTACTTAATGTTGATCATATGTAATAGACTATATATATATTTTCTTTTTCTTGTCTCAAAGTCTGACAATAAATATTCATAATAATTAAGATAAAAACCTGTCAATGTCATATTAATAGAAATGTAAGGACAGAAAAAAGAGGATCAGTCGACATATATCATATGATAAAAATATTTTATTACTCACTAGACTGACAGCATCTGCATGTGCTGATAGTTCATCAAGTACAGATGTTATTGTAGGTGAAGTAACATATTTAGTATTTCGTTGTTGTTGTTGTTGTGGATTTGTTGTTCCAACTGAATTTTGTTGTTCATTTTTACCACCCCAACGAAATTTATTCACATTTTTAAAAATCTTTCGAGATTTTTTTGATAAACTTCCATTTGTTCCTCGTCCGGAACTATTGCTAATAGTTCCAGCATTTGATATTCCATTAATATTATTTGTTCGAACACCTTCTGAATGACGAATAGCTTCTTTAATTTGTTGTTGATCAAGACTATTCATTCGACGTGCCATTGGTCGTTTACTATTAACATCACTTGATGCACGTGGTAATTTTCGTTTTGCTTTTAAAATAATATTTTTTCTTGCATTAATACAACGAATATATTCTTCACCAGTTGTATGAAGTACAGGTATACTACCAATTGATGCAAAATTTGTATTTGTATCACCATAACAAGCTAATTGAACAAAATCATTTTGTTCATTGGTATTATTATTTTGTTGTTGTTGTTGTAAAACAGGATCAATAATAACATGAATAATTTCTCTCCATGCAATATGTGGTTGCCAATCTGGATTTGTTGAATTTTGATATGTTTTATACATTGTTGTTTTCATATTTGTCATTAGTTGATCAAATACAACAGATAAATTTCTTACAACACAATAAGTTAATATATTATGTCGAATATCACTTGGTTTTGTACGACATGAATCATAATAGATTAATGCATGATTTTTAATTAAATAATCAAGTTCAATTTTAGCATTACGTCGTACACAACAAGCAAATGCATGAACAAATATTCGTTGAATTGTCGCAGAATTTTCTTCTATAAATGGATCACCATCTAATTGATAATAATGACTTAATGCTGTACATAAAGATAAAAATGTTGTACAATTATTTTTTATTTGTAAAACACCATCAAAACAATGTTCTAAATGTTTATGTGCAATTGTACCCCAACAATGAAGATGTCGACGTTTAAAAAATGAATCAAATATTGTATCCATCATAACTGTTGAATCTGTCATACATGATATATAGAATGGTGTTTGATAAACATTAACTAATGCATCAGCAAATGGATCACCAAATGATTCAAAAAAATAATAATCAACTTGCATAAATAATGATTGACCTGTTTCGGAACTTAAACGATATTTAACAATAACTTCCCATGTTACATCACTACGTTTACGTGATGATATTATATCACCATCAGGATAGAGTATGGTTGGTCGACAACCAAGTGCATTTTCTAATTCAGAAAAATGATCTTCAATATTTTCACGTAATAAATGAAAATCCCAACGTGGATATTGAAGAAATATATCACGTAAAACTAAAACTGTTAAAAAACAACGAACACTTATTGGTACTTCTAATGCATGACCATCATCCGATCCACCTGATTCATCATTTTTTGATGTATTTAATGTTGCTGATGAACCTGATAATGCACCAGAAAGAGGTTTGACATCTTGATTAACAATAAAACCATCAAATTGATAGAATATAAATGCTGATGGTCCTTCGGTTTCTGTATCACGATAGACTCGAACATGTTGAAATGATCCATAATCTTTTCTATGCATATAATCAAGAACATGATTAAGAATACATTCATGATTTAAACCATCATATTCAACAAGATGTGATTCAAGTAAAATTTTAACAATATCTTCATAATCACTTCGTTCTCCACATGTTGCAAGACATGCAAGTGTAAGTGGTGATGGTATAAGCATTTGTTTTGTATCATACATATGTAAAACTTTATCAATAAATTCATCACGTTGAATTAATGGTAATGAACTTAATTCAAGTTCATCAGCATCAGGTATATCATTATCATTTGCCATTGTTATATTACTATTACTATTAATTATACTGGCTGATAATGATGGTTGATCTCTTGCATCTGTATTTGAACGAAATTTTTGTTGAAAATATTGATCTGTTAATGTACTTTGACGTTTATCCATCATTGATGAATGTGTACGAGAAGATCTTCGTTCTTGTTCCGTATGTGTATCATGTTCAACACCGCATGTTTTAAGTATATATTCATTTGGATTCATATCAAAATATTTATGTCTAAAATTGGGTATTAATAATGATATTGGATCAAATTGTATTGTTGATGTTGGTGATGTTAATGTATCACATATTGTTTTAACAATATCTTTATCACCAACATACGATGCATAATGTAATGGTAACCATCCACGTTTCGTTGTTAAATTCATTGATATATCTAACCAATTGACTTTTTCATCGAATATTTTTTTAATTAAATCAATTTTTCTATGTGCAATTGAAAAATGTATTAAATCACAATATTCATTTCGATATAATGTTTTAATTGATAGTTGAAATAAATTATATATTTTAGAATTATTATTTATAATTGGTTTATCCAATTGTTCTAAATATAAATATGTATGTAAAGGTGTATAGAATTTAAATAGACCATGAACTGGTGAATGAAGATAATGATCTTCTAATTGAACACCTTCTTCAATTAATGTCGATATTGTTGAAGTTGTATCAATTAAAGATTCTAATGCAGTTAAAATATGTTGACGAGAATCATCTGTATCAATAGTTATATGTCTAGATGTAAGAAGTTTTTTTTTTATACGATGATACCAACGCCATAATGGATAACGATCACGTGAATAACCATGAGAATCATATAATAAAAGAAGAAGAAAATGAAGATTATTAAAATTCTCTGGCTTTCGTATAACACTATTTTGAAGTTCTTGTAAAATATCAATTAAAAAATTATATTCAAGTTCTTCACATGGTAATTCTTGTATACCAATACTGGTCATTATTGTTGAGGCACGATCTAAATGTCATATATGTAATGTTTCATTATTGAATAATTATAATGAAAAAAAACAGATATGATAAAAATAAGATGTTAAACAGATCTCTTTCTTATTGATTACTATAATTATTGATAGTGTCTATCATAGAATCAAATAAATTTCTTTTCCGAATTTTGATAAATTTAACTAAAATCTTTTTTTTTATTATTGATTAAGTGTTAATGAATATAAGTGTTGAAATAATGATGAATGATATCAAGTAAAGTTTCTTTTTTTATCAAAGACAGAAAAAGTCACAATGAACTTACATGGTGTTAAATAATCTTTGCTTAAATCTTCAGCAGATGAATGTAAACGTAATAGAGTAGTCATTTATTTGAATAGAATAGACGTCGTATAATCAGTAAAAATGTAACTAAGCTCTTAACATACTATCCAATATGATTACTGTTAGTAATAAGCATATACGATATTCTCTACTAAATCAATCTTATCAACTAACGCGTTTTCTTTTTTTCTCGTTCTTCTATATATTTTTTCTTTCTTTCTTTCTACTCTGTCTTCTTTTCGGGTGAGAAATGTCTCATAATATACGTAGGATTCTTTTTTTTCTTCTTTTCTCTTAGTTTGTTGATACTATAATTTTGATAAATGTTAATAGAAAAAGAACTCAATTGTTTTCAAATCATTTATAATCGATAGAAGAAATACATAACTTTATTTCGATCAAGTATGAGTCGACATTTCAGCTATCTTCTAACGATCGTCTCTACAAATATATGTATAGATGCTTGTCTAATGTGTAATCAAGTATTACTATTACGCAGTCATCCGTACAAATGAATGAACTAAAACAAATTGCGTATAGTCTAGTTATTCAAATTCACCCTTGAATTTCTTATTTGATTTGATGATAGTATCTTTTCTTTTTCGAGACTAATAATATTGTATTCAACTCGTTGTCTATTCGCAATATTTTTAGATATGTATATAGAAACTTGTATTAATTAGTCGAAGTGGTACTATAATAATCAAACGCATAACGAAAAAGAAAGTGTGAAAATATGGTAGTTTTCTAACTACTGTAACATTAGGTTTGACATGGATATGTCAACACAAAATGATATAAATAAAGATAACTTAATAATAGAATAGAAGGTCTCTTGTATTCAAGGATAGTTTGAAGAAAAAAACAAATTATTAATCGAAATCAGACAATAAAATATAATAATCCTGATTAATATTTTCTTCTTCTTCTTTAGAATGCAAATTGAAATAATCCTCTTGTTTATATTAGTCACATACTCAATATATAATTCATTATTTATGAACTTCAATTATCTTTGTGCTTTATACAAGAGATTATAACATCTAGACTATTTTCTTTTTTACTACAATGCTTTTAAATATTCTTTATTATGATCAAACAAATAAATGAAAATTATTTTAATGAAATTAGATTAGTATTGGTATAATTGTTGTAATTCTTTCGATGTTTCATATTTATTTATTTTCTTTAGCATAAAATCAAATAAAAAGAAACGATTACGATTGATGTTTTCTTGGTGATGTTTATTTTTTGCTTTATTTATGCGAAAATCAGATAAGGATAACGAAGCAGCTGAATATTTGGATGATAATGAGGATTTTGATTTAAATCATAACGAAAAATATATACATTCAAGAGAATTACGTATGTGGACAATTATTCGAGAAATTGTATTCTATTTCTATTTTCTAATATTGATATATCTTATTACTTATCTAAATATGAATTCAAAGGTTTTTGGATGTGAGTGTGAGTGCATCTTCTCTTAACTTTTATTCACATTTTAAAATATTTTTATTATATCTTTGATATATTTACATAAAAAATAAGAGCTTTATAATTCTCTATTATTGTTATATATTTTTTTAAAATCATTTCCATTCATTTAATTATTTTCCATCCATCGTCGAAACAGTTTTAATATTTAAAAATTTTCTTGCTTCTTCTTCCTTTTGAACTATTTTATAAAATGTTTTTGTAATTGAAGAATTTAAACCAATTTTAATATCAAGTTGATCAATAAAAAATAATGATATATTTATTATAAAATTAATCATGATATTCTTGTGTAGCTTTTATGAAGTTCTATACTTTTTAATGAAAAACAATCTGCTGTAAATGTATGTAATATACGACATAGATCTTCTGATATACCTTTATCTGTATCAAGCAATCATATTTTAAATGTTAAATTTAATTATTTATCTATTAATAATGATAGATATATTTGTGGAATATGATTAATTTGTTCATATAATATTAATAAGTGATTATCAATAATCGAAGTTTTTGTTAATAATATTTCAATTAATGATTTATCATCAAGATTTATTCAACAGTATAATAAAGAAAATGATAGCCAACAAATACAAATAGCTTTTTTTCGACTACCTAAATAAAAGTTTTTTTTAATTAAATGGTTATCAAAAAGTAACAAAAGATAATTTTAAAGTTTTTAGAAGCAGATCGAAAAATTTGATATCGATAGCTTTTGCGTCTTTTTTTCTTTTTATAAAACTATGAAGCTTCTTTCTTTTTTTCTTTCGTTCTTTCTTCTGTTTCGTTTGAACACGTGTAACCTCAAGTAAGAAATGTATACATTAAGCCATGCTTCGTTGCTTTCATTGGTAACTCATAACGGTGGACGTCCTTCGAAAATGAAAACATGTGCGATTGAAAGCGATAGAAGGAGCTTATAACCGAATAATGATGCAGTATACTGCGTGAAAGAAAAAATGATTGTTTTTGTTACTGTTTATTCAAAAGATATAGCTGAAGACTCTACTAACGCCAACGAAAAATATTGGAATCTCGAAATTTGTCTTGTGAAATAAAGAAAAGAATATGTTTCTAGTTGTACACTGTAGGATAAACTTTTAAAAAGAGATATTGACTTTTGATAATTAATGGAAAAATAGTTTGAATGAGTCAATTTTATGAAAACTGTTCCTTTTTTAAATAGAATGGTTAATATAAATTTGAATTAAGATTTCACTTGATAATGTCTAGCAGTTGTTTTGTAGAACCGTACACCCTAACATTTAGCAAAACTTATAATAAATTGAGTATATGTTTTTGAGCTTAGACACATAATAACACCTTGCTCATGCTTTTTGTAAATATTTATTTCTGTTTTCAAGAAGAAAAGAAGAGTATATTTTCTGATTTTATCTTTATTGAAATGCAAAACTATAAAAGAACAAAACAAAACAAAACAAGAAAATACACAAGAATAATTGATAAAAAAGCAAAAAAGAAAAAGAAAAAATACGCAGGAATAAATAAAGAGAAAACAAAAAATAAAAGAAGATGAGAAAAAAAACCTAGCTAATTTAAAATGTCTTTTTATGTTCATGATGGTTGATGGCGATGTTAAATTTTCTATGCACATTGCTGTTTGTACCATCATATGTCCTACAAAGCAAAAATACTAAATTTATTCAATATAAAAATAATTAGAAATAATAATCTCAAAGATGAAGTATGGTTGATGAAATAAAATATCAGCTATAGTCTTTGAATAGTACATACCTGGCTTAATCCTTTTTAACAATCTATATTCAAATATTCTTCTCACGTCGAGGAAGTGATATACGGACATGCAACTATAATTAACTAATTCAGGACGAACGAATAATTCATACTAAGATTCTATTCAGATATTCCCTATAGTTTGAAGCAAAGATTTCGTGTTCCTTACATATTGGACGAACCCACAACAAATGACTAACTCATAGCAAGATTCTATTCAAATATTTTGTTCTGTTCGAAGCAAAGATTCCAAGTTTATTACATGGTGAATGAACGAGCAACGAACCGGTAATCCATAGTAAGATTGTATTCAAATATTTTATTCAATTTGAACTAACGATTTCGAGTTCAATACATGGCGCAGAAACACACGACAAATGAATAATTCATATGAAGAGTCTATTCAAATATTTGGTTCCATTGGAAGCAAAGACGTCGTGTTCGCCATATGGTGGCCGAACACACTTGAAATGAGCAGCTCAAACAAACCTTCATTTCAAATATTTTCCTCATTTCGTAACCAACATTTCAAGTTCACCACATGGTAGAAAAACACAACAAATGAATAGTTCCTACCAAGTTTCTATTCAAATATTTCGCTGAGTTCGAACTAAAGATTCAGAATTCATTGCATTGTGAAGTAACAGAGAGCAAATGAATAATTCATAAGAATATTCTTTTCAAATACTTCGCTGAGTTCGAAGTCAAGCTTTCTAGTCGATTACATGTCACATGAACACACAAAAAATGAATAATTCATAAGAATATTCTTTTCAAATATTTTGTTGACTTCGAAGGAAATATTTCGAGTTCACCACACGCTAGAGGAACACACAACCAATAAATAATTCCTAGGAAGATTTTATTTAAATATTTCTTTGACTTCGAACCAAAGCTTTTGGCTTCAATACATGTCAGAGAAACATACGACAAATGAATAGTTCATATCAAGGTTCCATTAAAAAATTTTGTTGACTTCGAAGGAAAGATTTCGACTTCACCACATTCTAGAGGAACACACAACCAATAAATAGTTCCTAGGAACATTTTAGTCAAACACTTCGACCAGTTCGAAGCAAAGATCTCGAGTTCACTACATGGTAGAGGAACACACAACAAATGAATAATTCAAAATAAGATTATTTTCAAATATTTTGTTCACGTCGAAGTGGAGATTTCGAGTTCACTATGTGGTAGAGGAACATACAACAAATGAATTATTCTTACCAACGTGTTATTCAAATATTTTGCTGATTTCGAAGCAAAGCTTCCTAGTTCATTACATGGTAGAGAAACACAAAATAAATGACTAATTCACAAGAAAATTCTCTTCAAATATTTTTCTAACTTCGAAGCCAACATTTCGAGTTCACTAGATGCTAGAGGAATACGCAACAAATAAATAATTCATAATAAGATTCAATTCATATACTTTGTTTAGTTCAAAGGAAAGATTTCGAGTCCATTGCAGGGTGGAGAAATTTACAACAAATGAATAATTCAAAATAAGATTCTTTTCAAATATTTTGTTCACTTCTAAGTAGAGATTTCGAGTTCACTACGTGATAGAGAAACACAAAACAAATGAATGATTCCTACCAAAACGTTATTGGAGTACTTCAGTGAGTTCGAAATAAAGACTTCGAGTTCACTACATCGTGAAAAACCGCTCAACAAATGAACAGCTAGAACAAACAACCATTTCAAATGCTTTCCTCAGTTCGAAGTAACAAATTCGAGTTTTTTACATGGTCCAGAAATACACAATAAATGAATAACTCATACCCAGATT